GGAGTACTGTCAGTTTAACAAAACTTTATTTGAGTTTATGTGTAAAGGGCATTTGCTTGTACAAGTTTGAAATAAAAAATTACGCGTAACTTAATAATTATGACTTATTATAAGACGTACGTAGTATCGAATGAATTTTCACACTGAACATGTAAGTACTGTAATTTGCTATTAGCAATCTTGAAAAGCGATAATTGCCTAGCGACGGCAGCACTGCCAATGGAACTATTTTACTATTACAGTACTGTAATTAAAGGTGGTAAGGTAAAAATAATTAAAGCTGGTAAGTAGAAGCAGGCTCGTCTATAAGCTAGGAAAGGCTGGTGCCCCCCGCCTCCCGGAAAAAGTCTTTGGATTTTTATACGAAAATAAGAAAATTCGGGGCTGGATTAAGGGGCGGGCATGATTGTTTGCGCTTGGCGAGAACAACGGTGCACCTACTTTCTAAACCTAAAGACGCCTCAACGATTCGGATGATTAAAGGAAGAAAGGTAATCATAAAAGAGGTTCAAGATAGCTCTGAGTCAGTTATATACACGCTGATCTGCCTTTTTTTTGCAGGCAAACGGTGATGGGTGCGTGGAAAACATGCTTATTCGTATTACAGATGCAGCTGCACTTGTCTGCGGAATGCCCGCCACCGCCTCTGCGGTCGCCGTCAGCCAACCTAGGGTACCGAAAGGCGGGACCTGATTGTGAGTGATGTTGATAAGAATTTAAAATGGTACACTACTACAGTATGAGTCTGACCTTTACTACTTGCAGTAAGCACAATGCATGGTCAAAGTGTTAAGATTGAGACATCGTGAAAGTAATGGGCTCCCGTGGTAGTGAACGACATGTTGGCGGAGGTCATGCTAAACAGCCGACAAGACGACCGCATCGTACTGGCGCAGCTGGCCCCGAGCGATGCCGTGACGGATAGCATGGTGTACCGGCCGCGCTTGGGAGAAGATGCGGCGTTCCGGTGCGAAGTGCCGGCCGGAAGCGACGGACGCGAAGTGTCCTGGCTGCACCAAGACCGGACCATCTTTGAGGCAGGACTGCCGGTGCCGCTGACGGTAGCAGACACCACGGGACCGACCTACAACTTCAGCCGCGTCCATAACACCCTGATCCTTCTGGTCCTCAACATCAGCATGGGCTCCGGGGGCTCTGTGCGGTGCGTCGCCACTTCCTCCGGCCCCGCCTACATGTCTCGGCCCCGTGTCCTGCAGCACTATATGCTGCTGCCGCTGATCACGCGCCGCAGCGACGTCTTCGCCGAGCCCGAAGTTTCCTACGTGACCGCCACCGAAGGCGAGAGCGTTACGGTACCGTGTAATATCCGGCTGCCCTTGCCGGAAGGCATTTTTGCAAACATGCGCAACCACGTCATTTGGCGCCATAACGACCGGGTCGTCTATGGTCCCTCGGAAGCGCCGTACGGGTTCTTAATTTCCAATACTGGCATTCCCCAAGCCATCGAAATTGCCCATCCGAACGACACACAGCCCGCCAACCGGCCCGGACACCTGGTATCTGATGCATACAACTTTCCGGCTGTCACACTGGCCGCTGCTGGACAAGTGCAGTGCCTGTTCCGGCCACACCAAGGCATACATGAATGGATTGTTCAGAGTACAAAGCTTGTAGTTTTTGCTAAGAAAAATGCGCAGTAGCGGCCTTGTTCGAGATAGCTCGGGGTGATTTCCCGAGTATATGTACTTATTTACATGTGCTAAACCCTGGTCACACGAATTAATAAATACTTTGTTAGATATTCTTATGTCAGAGGCGTACGACTGCGCCTGGTGCGTACGGTCCACACAGGACGGACGCACTTGCAGAGCGTACGACTGCGCCTGGTGCGTACGGCAGGACGTACTTGCACCATTGCTTGCCGATTCACTCTCGCTGTACGTACGTGTGCTGCTGCACTGCACTCATCCGCTGAAGCGGATATACGCAGCGCATACACTGAGCCACACTTGCTCTCTCGTTCCTCTCTCGCAGTATGACTCAGCGTTCATACGCTCGCGTTGGATAGAGTCCAGTCTGCGCATCATCACACAGCTGATGGCACACAGCACGTGCTGGCCGCAGTTGCTTCTTTCACGCCTTGACGGACGCTCAGGAGCTTTTTCTAGCAGCACTTGCTATTTAGCCATCACTGCTATGTTCTTGCTTTTCCTGCTATCACGCAGCATTGTTCCCCCTTTATTTGTCAATAAAGCATCACTCGTGATCTCCTCGTGCTTGTCTGTTACATGGTAGCAGATTCATAAGGTTTTCGATCTTACGGACCCTTTGAGGAGACGGTGAAGGCTTTAATTACGGAGAACTCGTGAGGAACCTGAAAGTCACTGTCAGACAGATTGCTGAAGCAATCTCTGCCTTGACTTTGATCGGACTGATCGCATCGTCTTACAGCTGAGGAAAACGAGGATCACTGAAGTGATTCTCACCCAGCTGGTGAGCACAGTTTCTTTGTCTCTTCCACACTGAAGAGCACATTCCCAACAGCACGGAATTCTCCCAACTGACGGATCAGACTCGAACGAGAGTCTGCAGCGCGATAGGATTACTCCAATAATACGGGGACCATCGGTTTGAACACCGACCCGCAACTTTAACGGCGGATTTTCACTCGGAAACGACGGATTTCCGACCTCGGACGGAGGAGATCGAGCGGAACCGACACCGACACCGACACCGGTAAAGTAACGGTTCTAGGTCGATTTTAGCCGCAACTAGGTCGGCTTTTCACTTTCCAACGGTAGAAAACGATTTCTATCCGTAAAATTTAACTTTTTAACGGTGAAAAAGTAATTTCTGACGGAGAAACCGACTCGGAATTTTGCTTTTGGTCGAGAACCGACCTGCCAGGTCAACGAACCTGTCTAGACAGTTAGACAAAGGCTAACCGGCAACAGGTCGGAAATTCTCTTCATTTTAACTTCCAACGGTGTTTCGACCACCAGAAAATTTTCTTAATTAATAAAATTAATTTCTAACGGTTAAAAACTCGAAAACCCGACTAGATAAACTTTCTAGCCGATCAAAAATAACTTGTTTTTCTCGCGGAAAATAGCGCGAAAATTCTCGAACTTCCTTGTGACGTCATAACGACCGTTTATCAGTACTTAAGAAGCAGCCAATCAGAGTGCAGGGGAAAGTTCCCATAGCCTAACATAGGCGTGATTCATCGTTTTTGTAAATTTTGCACGCGGCTCGCATTCTGTGACGTAGGCAGAAGTGCAAGACCATAACCTGTTACGTCACACTGGTCAGCACAGTAGTATAGGACGTACTACACCGTACTACTATAACGTACTGTACTGTACCATAGTACTGTATATTAACCCTGTGTACTGAGTCACCAACAGACACATCAACAACAACAACAACATCTCACCGGACGTTCCTGACCCTCGGAAGTTCCTGAACTACAAGACGTTCCTGATCTTGCCGAGCATCTTCACACAGAAGATCGTTCGACTTTCTTTTCACTAATTGTTAAAAACCTTTAAGGCTCCACCAGAGCCGACCTGATTTGACCACAATGTCGAACCAGAGAGAGAACGAATACGCGAGAAAGTTCAACACCGACTATTCTCGGCGTGCGAACATGACCGGAAAGTACTCACTCCGGTACGCCGGTCAGGATAAAAGTCAGCCGTCCTCAACCGACTCGACTAAGTCGGCCGAAGCGAAGGAGAGACGTAACGAACGGATCCTCCTTGCTGACTCGAATCCAACCTCGGATGACAGTTTTGAGGACGCCAGGGATAAAACATTCTTGGAAGCCTCAGCTGACGTAGCAGCCCCGTCCCACCCGACCGGGGGGGGGATGTGGAACAGCTGCAGGCAGAGACCACACTGTCTCATGCCGACCAACAGTCGAGCTCACACAGAGCTCCAGACTCGGTAACGGTTACAAAGGCCACCGAGCTCGGACGGCAATCACCCAACAGGACGGAAGAAGTGCCGAAGCCGACCTCGTCCAACATGGACATACCGACTAACCAAGTCGGACGGAAATCGCCGACCACACAGATCGAGCGAAAATCTCCGACCAAAGAAGTCGGTGAACAATCACCGACTAGGGAAGTCGACCAACCGAAGGTCGACCTACCACTAACGAAAGAGGTCGGACAACCGACCTCGAACGGAACGGAGAAACCGACAACAGAAGTCGGCAACGTCCAACCGACCACACAGGTCGGAAGGATTTCGCCAAACTCAGAGGTCGGACAACAGACGCCGACCACGGAGGTCGGAGAAAAGGAAGTCGGCAACAAGCAACCGACTAGCCTGGAACGGCAACCAGCCGACACAAAGTCGGATGCGGCCGTCCAGTCGACTAAATCACCGGCAGGAACGAAAGATTCCGAGGTACCGCCACGAAGCGGCCCTCACCCAGCCGGATCGCCGACTAACATGCCGGCACCCAACGAACGGGTAATTTCACCGTTGAGCCGACCTTCACCAACCGGAAGCGAGTCGACTCGAGCAACTGAAGCTCAACAAACGGTGAAGTCGACTAAGGCGACACAAAGTCGACCTGTCGACCTGAACCAAAGGTTGTCACCACCAATGTTCGGAACTGGCGAACTTGGTAGTACTCCGTCACCGACAAACGAAGTCTTTGAGGCAACAAACGCATCAAGACCGAATAGTGCGGACGGATTCTTCACGACACCACCCAAGTCCGATAAGGAGAATCTCGGATACCATGGCAGTGCACTCGAATACACGGCAAAGAAGTGGATCGCGGCAACACCGCCCGAAAAGATTACCGATCTCGACCTACTCCGAGCGAGATGCCATAAACTGATCACACAGATCGTTTTGGCGGACAAAATCGTCGACTCGGCAGAAGGATCCCTCCGAAACTCGGAGGACACCCATAAGCTCGAACGGAGGAAATGGGAACGAGACATGGCCGATGCCAACAAGGGCATCGCCACCCAACAACGGGAGATCGACCGGCTTAACGCCACACTGAAGCGAGCTGACTTACCGTGTCGATACGAAGACGAACAAATCGCCATACTTACTGGCATGTTGGAACGGTCAACATCAGCCGTCTTCGAAATCGAAAAGGAGCTTGACGAGGCGCACAAAGCGCTCGAAGAAGCACAGAAAGACCTGGCCGATGTTCAGACCGCACTGGTCGAGTCGGAACAGGCAGCAGGAGCGTTCCACCAGCAACTCAACCAGGCCAACGAAGAAGCCGAGGTCTATCGAAACGAAGTCGATAGATACGTGGTGGAACTCAAGAAGGCCGATAACGAGATCGACCGTCTAACGCAACGAGTCGACGAGCTCGAGTCGGAAATCGAACTTCTTTTCGTGAGAATGGGACGTCGATTCATCGATGCGAACGCTCGGGACATGGGCTTTCCCAACCAAAGGACAGCCGATGTCGACCTGGTGGAAGCAAACGCCCAGCTAGCCGACCAGGTTCATGGACTGAACCAAGTCCTCAAGGAGGAACAGAAACTCCGAGCTCAACTGGAGTACAACCTGAACGAGGCTCAGAAGGTGAACGAGGCGCAACAAAGCCGCATCGCTTACCTGGAGGCCCGCGAGGTCGAACTGTACGACTTCGGCGAACAGGCAGCCCGTAACCTCACCGAAATGATGAGGCAGATGGACGAAATGGACACGGAAACACGGTGTCTGAGGAAGAAGAAGCACCTGGAACAAAGCCAGGTCGAACTTCCCCCATACCGGGAACGAAGTCGGGTTGAACCTCCTTCATACCGGACGTCCATGGCACAGGATCAACAGCCGTCACGAACGATCAGTGACATCCTGTGGGGAATCAACCCAACCCAGCAAATGGCGGAGAGGAGAACAACACCTCCTACTTCGTCGGAGTCGTGACCGACCCAAGCGTGGGAACAATCCCACAACCACCAACAGTTCCGGCTGCTCCGGAACCGGAACACAATACGTCGACCGCGGCACCGCGAGTGCCAACGTCGAACGTGGCGACAACGACGTCTGCCGGTGCATATACCAGCACCTCGTACGCGACGCGGACAACAACGTACGCGCCGGTACCTAACGCGAGAGGAGGTCGGACAACAGATGCCGAACGTCTCCCAGTCCCGTCACTGAGACCGGGCATAGAAGCATATCGCCCACCAAGGACGAACTCCAACCCGAACTCCCTCCGCCAGAACCCGCCGTTCGACTTTGAACGAGCGAGGGCTCGGTCATTCAACACGACCGACCAGCGGCAGGACGGACAGAACGGAGAGGATAGCTCCGACCAACAAGGTCGGGTGCCCCTACACCGACTAATACAAGGTCGGATACCGGTTCAGGAACACAGCCCAACCGGTACGGAAGAGTCTACGACCAACCGAGTGGATTCTATCCGCAGGCGCCGAGACAAAATCGAGTGCCTCCTCCACAACAGCATGGAGGACAGCCACAACGGCCTCGTCACGAAGACCAGGCCCAGGCTCGGTATCCGCAACAGGACGAATACGACGGCTACGACGAAGAAGCCTATCAACAGGGGGCATACGAAGACCAACAAGGTCACGTACCATATGCCATCCCGCCACCCGCCCCGGCTGTACAACAAGCTGCGCCGGTGGCACACCTGATTCCTCCGGCACAGGACCCGGCACACATTGCCTTGGTACGAGCAATATCTCAC